TGCAGTATAGTGTACAGTCGTGTGGCAGGTAAATGTGATGGGGTATCCTGATCATTCTACTCTCTACAGAGTATCAGGTGAAGAAACACACCTTTCTTGTCACCACTTTGTGTTTTAAACATTCTAAAATGATGCTTGTCAACCTTAGCTGCTCGAAGATGCGTGGACTTCAACTCCCAGAATTCCTCAGCCAGCAAGGACTTTCTGCAAGAGCTAGGTCTGCTTAACACCTTAGCAAATCAGCCATATTAATCTATAGTAGCCAAAAGTCGGGGGGGGGGGTGTGTGTCTGCTAGCACCTTTTCAAACGACAGCATTTTGTTAAAAGGCAGAAGCTTTTATTAGGCATCAGACAGACCAAGAAAATCTAGGGAGATTCTCAGTCATCCAGGTTCATGGTTGTCCCAAAGGTGCTTTTGCAAAAGGCAAGTGGACTTTCTCCTCGAAGACATTTTGCTCCTCATCCGGGAAGCTTCTTCAGTTCTGACGGAACCTCTGACATCAGAACTGAAGAAGATGAGAAGCGAAACGTCTTCAAGAAAAAAACAAAGTGCCCTTACTTGCCTTTTGAATAAAGCATCTTTGGCACACACCCAGGTAGAAGCTCACCAAGGCTTCTACCTTTTAATAAAATATCTTCATCTGAGAAGGTGGGACCAGATTCCTTTTGATCCCCATCCCTGGCGAAGGAACCCTGGTTTGGACAACTAAGAGTGGCTAGCTGCTAAACCTGGATGAATAGAAGACAATTGCTATGCTGTAACGAAAGGACGGATTTCCCACCATACCCATGCCCCATCGACGCCAGCCCACCTAAACGGGGCTTAGCAGGTGGTGTGAACAGAGCCTCCAGGGCTGTGTTGACCCAGAAGGCCTGAATTCGAAAGCTGGCGTGAGCAGCAGCCGGTGGGCTTAGCAATGGCATCTTCCTCTCCTGCGAGACAGATGCAAGAGTGAGCAGCTTAGCAACTACTTAGTCCAGGGGCTGAGAAACACAACGGGGGAACCCAAGGCGGCCTTTTCATCCCCAACCCCACAAGGCAGAAGTGTGCAGAAGTGTGCAAACCTCCTTGCGGCTGGAAACACAACCGTAAGCCACACAGCTGAACTAGAGATGCCTGTGCTTGTGTGTGTGTGCATGGAATAAATGCTGCTTAGGGAGAAATAAAATCTGGGCAAGACAGAAGGAGCCCCTAATCATTTAATCTGGGGGGGGGAGAAGGGAGGTGAAAAATATATAGGGCAAGTCTTGGGGGGGGGCATTTGAGAAATGAATGGATTTTAGGCGCCCCACTGGGAGATCCTGGCTTGTAAGTGCCAGGGATCCAGTCTCAAATGAATGGATTTTAGCTGCCCCACTGGGAAATCCTGGCTTGTAAGTGCCAGGGATCCAGTCTGAAATGAATGGATTTAAGGTGCCCCACTGGGAGATCTTGGCTTGTGTCAGGGATCCAGTCTGAAATGAATGGATTTTAGCTGCCCCACTGGGAGATCCTAGCTTGTAAGTGCCAGGGATCGTCTGAAATGAATGGGTTTTATCCGCCCCACTGGAAGATCGTGGCTTGTAAGTGCCAGGGATCCGATCTTAGGGACCTGATCCATTCCGACCTTTTCAACCATCGCGATCCAAACGCATCCGAATGGTAAACGAAGACGGCGCGCGGGGAAGGGATCCTCTCCGTCCTCGTCCTCCCGATCCTATCTACGCCTGGTGAAGCAGGATTTCCCCCCCCCCCGCCCTCCCCCTTTTGGCGCCGCTCGGCAAAGGCAGCGAGGGCGGGAACTTCGCAGGCTCCCTCGGGAAAGGTGCGCAAAGCGATCCCAAGGAAGATGCCAGGCTCCCCGGGAGAGGCGAGACCCGGAGCCCCCTCCCCTGCCTCCCCTCCCCGCTTTCGCCTCCAAGGCTCCCCCTCTCCCTCCCACCCCGGAGGGATCCGGCAGCTGCGGAGCGCCCAGCCAGGTGAGCGAGAGCCGCGAAGGGCGGCGCCTCCTGCCTGCCGCCCGCCCGCCCGCTTCGCCCAGCCCAGCCCAGCCCAGCCCAGGGCGGCCGGCCAGGGGAACAGGTTCTTGGGCCCTCGGCCATCTTGGCCGGGGCGAGGAGGCGGGAGGGGAGCGGACGCGGGAGGCCGAGGAAAAACTTCGGCCGGCCATTTCGGGGCAGCGGGCAAAGGCGAGCCGGGGCAGGCGGGGCGGCAGGGGGAGGCCAGAGGAGGGACGGCCCGGCCGAGACCCCCCTCCCTTCCCTTCCCTCGCCCGCCCCCCCCCACTCACCGGAGAGGCAGCCCCAGAAGAGGCTCGCCCAGGCGCACGGCCGCCGCGAGGCGCCCATGGGGCGGGGGAGAGGGCGAGCAGCGCTGGCGGGTCTTCCGCGGCCGGTGGGGTCCGACGCTGGGCTGGGCTGTGCCGCGACTTCGCCTCGGAGCTTCCGGACTGGATGCTGTTGCTGCTGCCGCTGCTACTGCCGCGGTCCCGTCTGGAGCAGCTCACCCCCCCCAGCACCCCCTCCTCCGCGGGAGGCGGGGCGCGACGGCGGGCACGCCCCCTCCTATGCCACGCCCCCCTCTGGATGTATATATATACCCCCTCCCCTTCCGCGAAGCAGTGCCAGTCCAGCTTGGCCGCCGCGAGGGGTGGGTGTGGGTCCTGCGTGGAAGCCGCCCCGATCGCGGCGTTTGAGCCACCTTGCCTTTATGGGGGCGGTGTGGGTGTGGGAGAGAGGGAGGGGGAATAGACCGGGATGAGGTGCCCGGTTGCGGGACGCTGAGACCCCTGCCTCCCCCCTCCCGTGGTCACCCCCGCCTACTTCCCCCGGTGCGTGCAAGCTTTGAAAATGTTTAAATGTCCTTTTTTCCCCTCCCGGATTTCTCTTAACTGACCATCATTCGGGGTGCCCTGGCACAAGCCGGGTTTATATGCAGGGGGTGTGTCAGAGGTGGTTTCTTTCCTCCGCTTGCGTTTAATAATAATGATAATGATAATAATAGTAACCTGGTTGACACCTAGGATGCTGGTAGCAACCCGTGTCAACCATCAGCACCGGTCAATTTGAATGTTCAGTTGACTGAGGTTCATATTTAATAATAAAAATGAAGTTGGGAGGGACCTTGGAGGTCATCTAGTCCAACCCTCTGCTCAGGCAGGAAACCTTACACCATTTCAGACAAATGGCTGTCCCATCTCTTCTTAAAAACTTCCAGTGTTGGAGCATTCACCGCTTCTGGAGGCAGGTAGTTCCACTGGTTAATTGTTCTAACTGCCAGGAAGTTTCTCCTTAGTTCCAGGAGTTCTTAGTTCATAGTGGAATAAAGGGCCACTGGCTGGGTTTGGATGCTAACTCACCTTCAATTGTAGCTTTAGGGGCCGCGGGGCTGTGCTTGCACCAGTTAAAGGACATTATATGGGTAGTCCTCGACTTGCAACTGTGCTTTGAGTCATGTTCGAAGCACGGCTGACTGGGGAATTCTGGGAGTTGAGGTCCAGACGTCTTAAAAAGTTGCTAAAGTTGAGAAACAGTGCAAAATTTATCTGCCAGGCACCAAAGGGACGTTTTCCAAGGTTTGAAGGCTCCCCCAGCCAATGTTCCTATGGGATAAACCAAGTTGCCCTAGTTATACTAGGGAGAGTAGCGTTGTCTTACGTTCTCACGTTGCTGTTTGCATTTCCTCGCAAGTAGAAAATTAGCACAGCAGGCTAAATGACAGTGTTTTCCCTGATAAGCTAGATTTCTACATTAGGACATATTCTCAACCCAGGATAGCCTTCAGAAGTGCTGGGGAGGGGGAGTAGCGATTGTCTGAAGAGATCCGCAGATCTTTTTTTTCCAGTATTAATTTTTATTTCCGGAATCCGAATAAAATCGTTCGTTTTTCCGCCTTTTTCTTCCCTCCGGAGACACCTTGCTGGTTAAACAAGCATCCAGCGCCCCCTAGTGGTGGTTGCCTTCGCATGCATGCATCCATCTATAATTGGAAAATAATTAACGTGTTAGGTTATTTTTAGAATCGCTTTCCTCCACCTGTTGCTGCTCTTCAGCGGGAGTTTCCATATATAACAGCAAAGGGAGGGCAAGTGATGTGCTTTGTGTGTGTGTGCGCGCGTTTGTGTGTGCTGCAAAGACGTCCTCCAGGTGATGCAAATTGTATCATTTTTAATTTTTATTTTCATCTTTCCAAACCACCCATCCCCCCTGGGAGATGGGATGTGGGCGGTGTACAATGTAATCAATCCACAGGAAAAATCACATTAAAATCAGAATAATTTAAGGTGGTTGTTTTTTTTTTCTTCCAACTTCCACCATGACGTCATTGTCATTGTGGGTTGGATCTGACTGCCTCTCTCTCCCCCCCCCCAAGACACCCCCCTCACCCACAGGCTGGTTATCAATCCCCCCATTCCTGCTGATCGCTCAGCCTCATGGGAATGGAAATCTCTCAAAACAGGAGGCGTCCAGATGAAGAACGAAGGAAGAAGCTTGCTGGCATCTTTTGCGGGCGAGGGTCTCTCATTCCAGATGCTATTTGTGTGCAATTTGAAACCTCACATTCCTTTCACTTCCTCAAAATGGGCTGGTTTTACCCCCCCCAACCCCCTTTGGTGCTCGAGGCATTAAGTCACCAATTCCTTTTGCTCATCTGCGAAAGGGGGGCTCTCAAAATCCCCCTTAAAATGACAAGGGTGACCAGGGCTGTCTGTTGAAGAAAGATATTTTGTTTTTTTCACTCTCGGTTTCAATTTATTACTTACATCCTGACTTTTTGTTAATAAATAACTCAAGGCAAGTGTACGTATCTGATGCTCCTTCTTCCTCTTATTTTCCCCACAACACCAAAACTGTGAGGTGGGTTGGGCTGAGAGAGAAGGACTGGCCCAAAGTCGGCTTTCATGCCCAAAGCAGGACTAGAACTCACCATCTCCTGGTAATTGGCCCAAAGTCACCCAACCGGCTTTCATGCCCAAGGCGGGACTAGAACTCACCATCTCCTGGTGATTGGCCCAAAGTCACCCAACCGGCTTTCATGCCCAAGGCGGGACTAGAACTCACCATCTCCTGGTGATTGGCCCAAAGTCACCCAGCCGGCTTTCATGCCCAAGGCGGGACTAGAACTCACCATCTCCTGGTGATTGGCCCAAAGTCACCCAACCGGCTTTCATGCCCAAGGCGGGACTAGAACTCACCATCTCCTGGTGATTGGCCCAAAGTCATCCATCCGGCTTACATGCCCAAGGCGGGACTAGAACTCACCGTCTCCTGGTGATTGGTCCAAGGTCAGCCAGCTGGCTTTCATGGCTAAGGCGGGACTAGAATTCACCATCTCCAGGTTTTTCCCCTGGTGCCTTCACCACTAATCCAAACTGCCTCTAATTTAACTCTATAGATAAAATATATATCCAGACACAAATAGAAATTAGGAAATGTAAAAAGAATATAGCAGAAATGAGTAAACAACAGTTCAAAAAAAAAAGCCAGGGTTTTCCGATACATAATAAGTAAATTATTATGGATGATAAAACCCTCATTAAGCTTTAAGGAAGAAAAAAATAGGTGCGTGGTCAACAAAGTATAATCTCCATATAAAATGATAATCCCTAGGATCCATTACTAACAAAGATTCTCAGTTTTGATTCAGTTGTTAACTTGAATTTCAGGTTGGTGCAATTTTGCATGCACACGAGGGCTGGGGAATTCTGGGGGTTGAAGTCCACACTTCTGAAAGTGGCTGAAATTGAGAAACATACTTTCGGGTTACAATTAATTATACTGAGAGATTTCACGCTGAAACGGGCAGTGCCTTTTATTAACCATTTCTCTGCAATGCTGTCTCATCTTCAATGTGCTTCCTCTTGCCCACGTCCAGAGGCATTTTTCTCCATCCCTGAACCAGTAGAAAAGGCTGCTATAATACGCACAAATCCCTTGGAATTTGTTTGGATCCAGGAAACCTATTGTCACGTCAGTTTGCAGTCTGCAGTCTGCATTCTGACCACACGAGGGCGCAGGTGCTCTAAATATAAAAGTGGCGTTCGCTTTTGTTATTTTTTTTTCTTCTTCTTGGTGTTAGTGATACCTCAATCATAGGAACTATATTTACATTAGTCCTCGACTTATCACTCCAGTTGGTGAAGGGTATCCTCTGTAGATCAGCCCAGCTGCCTCCAAACACCCCCCTTGGGGCCATCAAAAGAGCATTGCAATGTTTTGAGGCCTGCCTTCTGGTGTTGTGTGCAATTGCTGGCTCCAAATTTATGGTTTTCTATCAGACAGGGTCTCATAGACCTGTTCTGAAATCCAAACAGGCTCTGCCCTAACCTTGTTTAAAGAAATCTTGAAAATCTAGCTATTCCCCCAGGTCCACCCAGGCTTAGGGAGTGTGTTGCATCCCGTTTGGGAACAGGTGGCGTTGAAGGTTATGCTTTTAATGCATTCTCCCTGGGTATCTATTGTTCTTTTCTATTGCTTAGTTAGATTTTTTGATAGAGGATTGAGGGAGAGAGGGAAAGAGAGAGGGGGAAGAATGAAAGGGGAAGGAAGGAGGAAAGAAGAAAGGAAGGAAGGAAGAAAGAAGGAAGGAAGGAGGGAAGGAAGGAAGGAAGGAAGGAGAGAAAGAAAGAAAGCCAGATAAAGAAAGAAAAAGAAAGAAAGAAAGAAAGAAAAGAAAAAAGGAAAGAGAGACGGAGATGAGAGAGAAAGAAAGAGAGAAAAAGACAAAAGAAGGAAAAGAAAGAAAGGAAGGAAGGAGACAGAAAAGAAAGAAAGGAAGGAAGGAGAGACAGATAAGAAAGAAAGAAAAGAAAAAAGGAGAAAGGAAGGAGGGACAGATGAGAGAGAGAGAAAAAGACAAAAGAAGGAAAAGAAAGAAAGAAAGAAAGAAAAGAAAGGAAGCGAGGAAGGAAAAAAAAGGAGAGCCAGAAAAGAAAGAAAGAAAGGAAGGAAAGAAGGAAGGAAGGAGAGACAGAGATGAGAGACAGAGAGAGAAAGAAAAGAAAAAAGAAGAAAGGAAGGAAAGACAGAGATAAGAGAGAGAGAAAAAGACAAAAGAAGGAAAAGAAAGAAAGAAAAGAAAAAAAGGAAGGAGAGACAGAGATGAGAAAGAAAGAAAGAGAAAAAGACAAAAGAAGGAAAAGAAAGAAAAGGAAGGGAGGAAGGAAGGAAGGAAGGAAAAAAGGAGAGCAAGAAAAGAAAGGAAGGAAGGAAGGAAAGACAGAGATGAGAGAGAGAAAGAAAAAGAAAGAAAGAAAGAAAGAAAGAAAGGAGAGCCAGATAAGAAAGAAAGAAAAGAAAAAAGGAGAAAGGAAGGCGAGACAGAGATAAGAGAGAAAGAAAGGAAGGAAGAAAGAAAAAAGACATTCCTTTGATCACAGGAAGTTTAGTAACCTCATCCACTTTGCCTTTGCCAACCGCAGTCAACGTCGGAGAGAAACTGCCTTTCCGCAAAAGCCGAGGCCAGCTAGACCGTTGCAGGCACACCTGTCCCCTCCTCCGTTCCCCCACAGGCACCTGAA